GATACTCAGCAGACTCATAGAATGGCAGATGTCCTAAATAGCACTCTGGCCTCAGAATCAGCCCTAAAGGCACTCGGATCTGGCTGAAAAGCCCATGAGAGTATTTCAGGCATGGAAAGCCAAGACACTCTGTTAAAAAGATCTCTGCGAGTGAGATCCCAGTGGAAAGAACAGGTCTTCAAAGAGGGAGGTGCCTTTCTCTGAAGGGAGGAGAGAACCTCCACTTTGACTATGACCGTGTCTAAACAAGATAAGAGTCGGAGAACTCAAGGGGCTTTCATAGCCTTGGAAACTCATAACTGGTGCATAGGGAGATTACTGATGCCATAAACAGGAGTGTCAATTGGTAAAGTCAACAACAGGAGTCACTGTGCACTTACTCCTCATGTAGGATCTCTGTCCTTAACGTGCTGTACACTGAGGCTTAATGCTATAACGAATACTCAAACAGTATATTTCACTTTGTGTTTCTATGCGGGTGCAAACGACTGAAATCTTTACTTAATGTACACTAAACTGATCTTCTGTAAAAAAAAAAAAAAAAGAAAGAAATTATCAACTCCCAACTTGACTCTCACTGGGATTAAACATGACAATAGGTCTGATCTGATTTCATCATCATTTAAAAAAAATCATCTATTATTTTTCACTTTATGTTTCTGTGTGGGAGCAAACTGTTGAAATACTTACTTAAGGTATACTAAGCTGATCTTCTGTATATTAAGATAATCGAAAATGAATCTTGATGTGAATGGAAGGGGAGAGGGAGTGGGAAAGGGGAGGGTTGTGGGTGGGAGGGACGGTATGGGGGGGGGAAGCCATTGTAACACATGAGTCGTACTTTGGAAATTTATATTCATTAAATAAAAGATTAAAAAAAAAAAGAGATTTCAAACTGAGGCTGGCACTGTGGTGTAGTAGGTTAAGCCTCTACCTGCAGTGCTGGCATCCCATATGGGTGCCAGTTCAAGTCCCAGTGGCTCTACTTCTGATCCAGATCCCTGCTGGTGGCCTGGGAAAGCAGTGGAAGACGGCCCAAGTCCCTGGGTCCCTGTATGACATTGGAGACCTGGAGGAAGTTCCTGGCTACTGGCTTCGGATCTCCCTAGCTCTGGCTGTTGCGGCCATTTCAGGAGTGAACCAGTGGGTAGATCTCTCTGTCTCTCTCTGACCCTCCCTCTCTCTCTGTAACTCTGCCTCTCAAACAAATAAATAAATCTTTAAAAAGAAAACAAAGATATTTCAAACTCTATGTGATTTTCCATGTGTGCTCACTTCAGGAATGTGGGAATGCTATACCCATTGCTTTGTCATTTGCTGGCGTGGGGGTCTCTGTTGTACCTTGGGGAATGTATTCACGAGATCCACCAGGCCATGAAGAGATAGGTGAGATCATTCAGCCAGTCACCCTCTGAGACTATCTGTGTAGAAGGTGATGACAATGACACAGATGACTAACTTGTGCTGAGGGCGTTTGATGTGCCAGGTACCATGGGAGACACTGTCTACCTATTTCTTTTCACACCAATCTCAAGACTCAGTCAATGATTAACTTATTTTATCACCTACTTACTACATGTCAGAAACTCTACCGGGCCCCAGGTAGAGAGGAGCAAACAAAATAAAATCAAGGTTCTGCTCTCATGAGGTTGAATTCTTGTGGGGGAGAGAGATGATGGACAAATCTGTGTGATGTCAGGTGATGATAAGCCCTCCGAATGAAAATAAAGATGTGTAAAGGAAGAGAGAAGGCCAGAAACATGGGTGAGTGCTACCTAATTGGGATGGTCAGAGAGACCCCTGTGGAGGCTCGCCACCGTCTCTACTTATTAGGCTCGAGGATCCCATTAGCCCTCAGCATAGCACCTGCTTTGCATTATGAATAGAAGGCTGCAGATCAGAGGAGAGCTGGGACCCTGAGATGCCAGCAAGATGGGCTGAAACGCTAAGACCCACACAAGTCTCTTACTACACTGCTGCTTTTCCTGTGTGACGGGACTTCAGAAAGTTTGAAGGAAAATGGAATTAAAAGATTGTTTTATATGGGTGAAGATATTTTCCAAGAACTTTTCCCATGGCCCATCTGACTGGTTTCTTTCCACTGTGCTTTCAGAGAATGGCAGGTTGCATTGGCGTTACCTAGAAAGCTATTCTTGCCTTTGTCTCCTGCACTCTTGAACCTCAGACTTCGAACAAAGAGTCAATGGAGGGGTCGGCACTGTGGCGTAGCAGGTAAAGCCACTGTCTGCAATGCCAACATCCCATATAGCCGTTGGTTCAAGACCCGGCTGCTCCACTTCCGATCCAGCTCTCTGTTGTGGCCCAGGAAAGCCGTGGAAGATGGCCCAAGTCCTTGGGCCCCTCGACCCATATGAGAGACCTAGAGGAAGCACCTGGCTCCTGGCTTCAGATTGGCGCAGCTCTGGCCATTGCGGCCAATTGGGGAATGAACCAGCAAATGAAAGACCTCTCTCTCTCTCTCTCTCTCTCTCTCTCTTTCCCTCTCTTTCTCTCTATGTAACTCTTTCAAGTAAAATAAATAAATCCTAAAAAAAGAGCTTGGTTTCCAGCGTGGTCCCAGAGGGACCTAAAGAGGCTTCAGGTACTTCTCTGACAGATGGCTGGGATGTTCAGTGGTAAGAGTTTCTCACTCCAACCTCTGCTTTAACCTGAACAGTAGTGGTTCTGTCTGACATACTGAGACTCTAAAAAGGAAATTTCTTGGATTAGCACAAAATTTGATGTAAATGTGAAAAGTATTGACCCCTTATGAATACCTAATAAAGGCAGACCTTGAACCATTTAAAAAATTTGGCCTTGGGGCCAGCGGCATTGTGGCAACATGGGTTAATTGCTGCCTGCAACACTGGCTTCCTATATGGACTCCACTTGTGATCCAACTCCTTACTCATGGCCTGGAAAAGCAGCAGAAGATGGCCCAAGTGCTTGGGCCCCTGCCTCTACATGGGAGACCCAGAAGATCTTGGGTTCCAACTGGCCCAGTAGCCATTTGGGAACTGAATCAGGGGATGGAAGACCTCTTCATCTCTCTCTCTCTCTCTCTCTCTCTCTCTCTTTCTCTAACTTTGACTTTCAAATAAATAAATTTTTAAAAAAGTTGGCCTTGAATGCAAATTCCCTTACAAAGTTCCCAGGGGAATTTTAACCCTAGGAAGGTAGCTTCCACATTCTGAAAAGCAAAGGGTGTATGCCAGTACCCTACTGGGTAAACATTCCAGCTGACCCAGGACTGGGGGAAGTGGAGCAGGGTAGGGCAGAGATCACCATGGGACTACATTATCCTCTCTCCTCTTCGCTGACGGATAACATGGATGCTGTGTTGTGGGTGTCACTTTGGGTATTGAATGTTCCCCGTAGGCCTGTGTGTTAAAGGCTTGGCTCCAGGCTGGTGGTACTGGGATGTGACGGAGGTGGGGCCCAGTGGAAGGTTCTCAGGTCATGGTGGGTGTGGCCTTGGGAGTAAGACTTTCTGGAAGCCTTGTTATGAAAACTTGAGTTGGGCCAGCGTCTCCCTTTGCCCCCTGTCTCTTCATGTGCTGTTTTTTCCACATGCGCACACATACCTGTGTATGTGTGAAGTTTAGTCTTGTGGCCTTTTTAAGGTTTGGTTTCCTTAAACAAAATGAGAATATACACAGAGGGATTTCTTTCATTCTAAACATTTCAGAAAATGTCTAATTTCCCTGCTAATAATATTAGACATTTTATTTGTTATTTTTTAAAAAGATTTATTTATTTATTTGAAAGTAAGAGTTACACAGAGAAAGGAGAGGCAGAGAGAGAGAGAGAGAGAGAGGTCTTCCAACTGGTGGTTCACTCCCCAATTGGCTGCAACGGCCGGAGCTGCACTGATCCGAAGCCAGGATCCAGGAGCGTCTTTCGGGTCTCCCATGCAGGTGCAAGGGCCCAAGCACTTGGGCCAACTTCTACTGCTTTCCCAGGCCATAGCAGAGAGCTGGATTGGAAGTGGAGCAGCTGGGTCTTGAACCAGAGCCCATATGGAATGCCAGCGCTTCAGGCCAGGGTGTTAACCCACTGTGCCATAGTGCTGGACCCAGACATTTTATCTGTTAGTTGCATAAATGAAAGTGAGAACTGGAGAGAGTTTGAAGGCTAATCTACAGTTGATAAGAAGACCGTTTCCTTATGATTTCACTATTTGTTGCTATTTGGTTAAAAAAAAAAAGAAGGAAACTGAAGGATTTTAGATAGATGTCTCTGGCTGTGGTAGTTATGGTGCATGTGTGTGTGTGTGTGTGTGTGTGTGATAGAGCGAGAGAGAGAGAGAGAGAGCGAGCGAGCATACGCACATGAGAGAATGTGGTCTCTGAGAGGGAAGACATTCCTGACTCTCAATCTTTGCCAAACGGCCGATTAGAGCAGGGACTTGTAGTTGTTCTCCAGTGTGTGTTCCTTCTTTCTTCTTCTGGTGTCAGCACCACACTGCTTTTTGGCAGGTCATGTGGCTGCTAGTTGGAAATATTCGAGAAGCTTCCCAGCAGCTAGGCGAGGTTGTGTGATTGAGCAATCCTCAACAGAGTAGGGACAGACAGACGAGATGTGCCTTCTGAGCCACCTCCTTGAATGCATTTTGTTTCCTTCACACTTTTTCTTTCTGAGAAGAGCAGGAAGTTGGTTGTGCAGTGTGGGCTACCTTTACCCAGGTGAGTCAGGAACACACTGGAGAATGGTGGAGCAGTGCAAGAAAAGAATAGAAGGAAACCGAATTCTTGGAGGATTTCTTCGAGGGGAGCTGCCTTCAACCTGGACCCTGGGTAACCTCTGGAAAGAGAAAAACAACTTGCATTTTGTGTGAGATACTGTATTTTTGTTGTTCCTATAAATGTTCAAGCAATTTATCTTAGACTCTGATCAATAATCTTTTGGATGTGATAAAAGATTAAAAGGTGACCTAGATCTAGAAGGCTGAAGTTTTGAATTCCATGCCATTCTCAATTGGCCACCCACTCTCCTTGCAGGTGCACAAGGGAATTACATATGAAAGTGAGGATTCCGTCTCAAATGCCAGACCTCTGCTGAGTTCAGGTGGGTCCTACAGAATAAGTGCTGTGCACTCAGTCATCTACAGGGTTTGGTGTGGGCAGGGAAGTGCAAGTGAGCAAACCTTACTGGGTAGCATGTGGCACAGGGGAGCTTGTGTGCTCCAAGATTAGGACTGTCACTCTGGCTTATGGGATCAGTACGTTTCGATATTTTACCTGTTTAAAAGAACATAGCGGTCCAGATCTATACAAATTAGAATCCATAGATTTGACTTATTAGGTTAATTTTAAAAATTTAAAACAGAAAATACTATGTGCATTGTGATGGTAAATTTTATGTGTCAGCCCGTTAGGCTACAGAAACCCTAACTGTCTGGTTGAAATATCCAGATGTTTCTGTGAGGGCACTTTGAAGCACACTGGTGTTTGACTTGGTGAATGGAATAAAGGAGGTAGCCCTGCCCCATGTGAGTGCCCCGTGGAATGAAAAGGTGGCAGGAGGTTGTATTAATTCTGCTGCAGAGCCTGACTTGACACAGTGATCTCCTGCCCAGGTCCTCAGCTCTGGACTGGAATCTCTATCACTGGTGCTTCATCTCTCAGGCCTTTGAACTATATCAGCAGTCTTCCTGGGTCTCCAGCTTGCAGGTTGCAGATTTTGGGACTTCACGGCTTCTGTCATTGCATGAACCAAATACTTTACAACACATTCTCTATCTATCTATCTATCTATCTATCTATCTATCTATCTATCTATCTCTTATCTAGCTATCTTACCTAATCCACCTACTTATTTATTTATGCATATCCTATTGATTTGGTTTCTCAGGCTTACCCTAATACACAACTATGCATTAAAAAAACCCTAACTTCAAGATAGGGCCCTAAAAGCTAAGAGAAATTCTCTCTGTGCCAAGACTAAAATTTAGTTAAAAATCTATCACCAAAGCTGTGTGGTTTGGTGGATGTTTTTGAGTTACTCCTTAAAGTCAGACATCAAAATCCTCGTTGTTTCATTTGATGAATTTTTTTTGAAAAAACATCATTTTCAGGAAAAATGTTTATAGGCAACAACAACTAAAAAATGCAAGCCAAATGCAAGAGAGAGTTAGCTTAATGTATTTAAGTAGCCATGGTACTTAAATACCATGTGCCTATTAATCAAAGCTTATTTGGGTCAAGCCATTATCTTCCTGGAGATTGTTTTCTCTGCCATTGGAATCAGTTAAGTTTTCTGAGTTCCAAGCAAAAGAACTCTTGCTGACCAACAAAATCAGCGACTTATTGGAATGTCAAAACAGATGGGGATTTGAGAAGAACAGGAATCCATGCAATTCCTGGGATCTTGATTTTGCCAGTGAGAAGTGACGCTTGACCATGTCTTTGACAGCTAGAGTATCCTACCTGCAAGAGATGACCGCTGGTTCTGAAGAAGGGACTCGTTCACTGTGGCATGACACCCAGAGTCCACGGGCTAGGACGCAGCTAGGAACGTGGTTGCTCTGCTTGCTACTTGGGGAAGTAAGGCAACGTGGTTGACAGCCACACCTTGTGAGCCAGGAAGGTTCCATAAGCAAAAACCACAGCGCTGCTTCTGAAAGAAGGGGAAATATTCCTGGTTAGACTAAAGTGATAGATGTCCATTACTTCAGCCAAGTCCATGAGGGGAGACCTTTCTGGCATTTCTTGGGAAAATTATATTTGTTCACATATCCTGAGGGGAAAAATGAGTTTTAAAAATCAGAGAAATGGAAAAGGGTCTTTCAATCTGCTGTGAGAATGGAAGATGAACACTCATCAAAGAGATCCAGTGATGCAAGGAGAAAGCAAGAGCAGAAAAGGTGGACGTGCAGAGTTGAGGGTCAAAGCCAACAATTCCATGAGCTGGGAGGGGCAAGGAGGAAAGGGGTGATCACAACAGCATCTGTTTTGCCGTGTGATAAGTACATGCTCACAGCCCGGCTTTGCTACTCATGGTGAATCCTTAAGAACACAACGAGGGGCAGGTGCTGGGGCTTAGTAGGTGAAGCCTCCACCTGCCGTGTGTTCTCCCATGTGGGTGCTGGTTCGAGTCCTGGCTGCTCCTCTTCCTATCCAGCTCTCTGCTATGGCCTGGGAAAGCAGTAGAAGATGGCCCAAGTCCTTGGGCCCCTGCACCTGCGTGGGAGACCCAGAAGAAGCTCCTGGCTCCTGGCTTCAGATTGGCTCAGTTCCAGACGTTGTGGCCATTTGCGGGTGTTACCAGCAGATGAAGACCTCGCTCTGTCTTCCCCTCTCTCTATCTGTAACTCTACCTCTTGTATAAATAAATAAATCTTAAAAAAAATAAGAGAATGCAATGAATGCTGTGGTTATTCATGTGGTATCTTCTCTACAAATCCAAGAAATCACACATTCTGAAAGCAAATAAGTTCTTCAGCTACTGATTGCTGCACCTAGTTCTGAATACAGTTTAGTCTTACTAGAAGATTAGAATTTCACATGATTTAAGAACCTTCCAATAATGTTGGAAGACATTTTCTAGTGTTTATGTATTTAATCCAGATTGCAGTTCTTGATGAATATTACTCAACTGACATATATTTTATTCATTAAGCATTTCACTATCATTCTTTCAAAGAATTAACTAATTTTATTTGAAAGGTAGAGACAGAGAGATGAGAGAGAGAGAGACACACACACACACAGAGAGAGATCTCCCATCCAGTGGTTCACCCCTGAGACGCCCTATAACAGCTAGAGCTCAACCAGGGTGCAGTCAGGAGGCAGGAACTCAGTCGAGGTCTCCCATGTGGGTGACAGGGACCCAACAACTTGAGCTACCACCTGCTGCTTTCCAGAGTGTGCGTTAGCAGGAGGTGAGAATGGAGAACAGCTGGGACTCAAACCTGGGGAACTCTCATATGAGATGTTGGCAAGCAGTAGCTTAACTGCTACACCAAATACCTGCTCCAAAGGTATGAAGCATTTCAATAAAAGTTCATGATTTGGAGTATGCCGGAGAATTCAGATCTCTTTTTTTTAATCCCCAATATTAGTTTCTGTATGGAGTTTATAACTAAAACATCAGCCACAGGGAAAAGATGTTGTTCAGGAAGTGAAGGAGGGAGACAAGGATAGCTGGTGGGGTTTTCCTAAGACAGAGAGCAGAGGCACCCCTTACACTGTCAGCCCTAAGAGGCAGAGGGAGGAAAACCAAGGGAGAAGCCCATCAGCACCTTCCTTTAGTGAGAAGTATGCAGAGGACAAAGTCAAGTGCAGGGCTGCGGGAGGGTAAGGGAAGGGAATAGAATTGAGTTCTCTCAAGGAGCCAAGGAAACTCACTGGCAATTCAACTGTTGTTGTTGGTGGTGGTGGTGTTGTTTTGGTTTTTGTGATTAGGATGAGAGACTTGTCCAAAGGTGATTCTGAGAACTCAGCCTGGGCTGCCAAGCAAGGACCAGTGAGCCCCGAGAGCCCTGCTTCCCCCTCTGGCTAGAGATGCACCTACCCATGGTTTCCCACGGTGCTGGGGGACCCCTTCTGCAGGGGAGACGCTGTCCCTCTGCACATCAGCACACACAAGGGGCCTCTTTGCTTGGGGGTGTCACCGAATAATCAGCCTCAAGCTAGAGATGCTCAGGGCAAAATTATATTTACATGTGACAAGTAAAAGAGATGGCAGGAAGGGGTGGTTCCCAAGACACCGCCTCACCGAGAAGGCATTTGCCCAGGCTTTCTCAGCCGGGGTTAGGGGAGTGTCCAGGGTGTAGAAAAAGGGAAAGAAGAGGGCCCTTCCTGCTCAAACAACGCACGTCTTCACACATTGTTGCATTCAACAGTCTGACTCAGACTGCTTTCCTGCAGTCTTCCTTAAATGTGGAGATTGGGCTCCCTCTGAGAGCAGGGTTGTGGGGTAAATATTCCTGGAACTTCCTCTGAAGAATCAGCGCAAGCGAGTCAACAGTGTCAGGTTCTCTTCATGCGTTCCTGCCTGAATCTAACACTCTGGCTTATACCCACTGCCCTCAAGGCCTTCCAGGAGACACACAACTGGTGTTCCCAGACAGGAGCTATCAACAGTGGGATTGTATCATGAAATTTATCTCCCAGACTCCACGGGAGACCAAAGAGGGTCCAACTACCAGGACAAGGGCCAGGTGAATAAGATTTAGAAAGACTTGAGTTTCATCAATGTCTTGGATGACCGTCCAGAAGGCACACTTAATGAATCTGTGAGTGACATGAGGCTGGGAGATACAGAGGGGGTGTGGCTGCCTTACTGGAAGCAGATGGTGTTCAACAGGCTGGAAGGACAAACAGAGTTAGTAATGCTGAACCTCTTTGGCTAAATGTCCTATCCTGGCCTGGGGCACACTAGCTATTCAAATATCAGGAGTAAGGAGACAACAGGATTTAAATCAAGAGGAAAACTCAGTGTCATTGATCAGTGTACACAAGTGCCTACACGCCCAATACACCATGTGATGAGTGAACAGTAGAATCTTTTGTATTAAAGAAGATACTACACACAGTGCCAGGAATGAACTGTATGCTCCATCGTTAATAATTATTGTCCTTGCTGCTTGCTATTGGGAACGGGAGGGGGGTCGAGTATTGGGAAGAATGTTGATTGCTTCCAGGTTTCTGGCTTTGCTCCCCATCCTCCTTGTTCCTCTCTTTCTTTTCTTCTTTGCTTTTCCCTCACTCGACTTCAGTGGTGCTGCGCTAGGTCAACATGGAGACAGGAAGTGAGTGGAGATAGGACAAGGATTCAACACCAAATTTACATCCTTTCTGCCTTTGGAGCTCTGATCAGGGGTTTTTCACTATTAATGTGTTCGAAGCCTTGCAACTCTAAAATTAGAAATTACAGCTTCCACATTTTCCAGATAACAAGCTGAGGCCCAGAAAGTGACTTTAGCAATGGTATAGAGCTACTAGTAGGCAGCATTAGGATTTACAACTGCATCGTGGTGCAATAGTTTAAGCCACTGACTGACACCAGCACCCAATATGAGTGCCAGTTCAAGTCCTGGCTGCTCCACTTTGATCCAGTTCCCTGCTAATGTGTCTGGAAAAGCAGCAGAAGATGGCTCAAATCCCTGGGCCCCTGCACCTACATGGGAGTCCTGGAAGAAGTTCTAGGATGTTGGTTTTGACTGGGGCAGCCCCACCCATTGCACCCATTTGGGGAATGAACCAGCAGATGGAAGATAACTTTTTCTCTCTGTCTCTTCTTCCTCTGTAACTTTGCCTTTCAAATAAGTAAGCAAGTAAGTAAGTAAATAAATAAATCTTTTAGCAATTATTTATTTATTTTTTAAAAGATTCATTTATTGTTATTTATTTGAAAGGCAGAATTACAGAGAGGCAGAGGCAGAGAGAGAGAGAGAGAGAGAGAGAGAGAGAGAGAGAAAGAGGTCTTCCATCCACTGGTTCACTCACCAGATGGCTGCAATGGCCAGAGCTTCTCTGACCAGAAGGCAGGAGCCAGGAGCTTCCTTTGGGTCTCCCATGCAGGTGCAGGGGCCCAAGGACTTGGGCCATCTTCCACTGCTTTCCCAGGCCACAGCAGAGAGCTGGATTGGAAGTGGAACAGCGCCCATATGGGATGCTGGCGCCCATATGGGATGCTGGCACTGCAAGCAGCAACCTTTACCCGTTGTGCCACAGCACTGGCCCCAATAAATGAGTCTTTTTAAAAAACCCTGCATCTCTACACTTTTCTACCTGGCTGTCAGTTTGTTGCTGTGGACCACACTGCAGCTGCCACAATTCTCTGAGTGTGCAGCAGGGGTGGTAGGGGCTGGGGTGGGGGTGGTGATAATGATGTGTGGAGGCTTTCTAGGGGCTTCTTGGTGGAGGAAGGAAAAGCAAGGGGATTCAACCACAATTTATATGTCTATATCTTATTTCCAAACAAGTCAAAATGTTTATTCCCCAAAGGGCGGCTCAACAACAATATCTTTGCTATTTAGTTCCAGAAAAAATGGCTGGGTTTAGACTTCTAAAATTGCGCATAGCCTCTGAGGGGTCAGATGACATACCTCCTATTTTAAGTGACCCTACAAGGCAACTTGAGAAGTGGAATTAGCTGGTGAGTTTTTATTTTTCTTTCTCCTCAAAGACATCACACGGACTTAGGATACACAAATTGTCACAGGAAGAAAAATACTCTTTCTCTGGAGATAAAAATAGCATCTGCCGCATTGCTTGGAAGAGTGGGTGAGCAGCTGGAGGAAGCCATTCCTAGCCCATCTCAACCCTTTCCTAAGTGTGTGGATGTAGGGCCCTTTCTGTGGTACCACTTCTGCCATTACGATTTAAAGCTCTCCCAATCACCACGTTTGCTATTCCAGTAGCATCTGTGTGTGTAGACTCTTTTTGCTCAACTTTGAATTTTAGCCAAGTCGTACCACGTAGCAATCTGAGAAACTCCTCGCTTGATCTTCACCCCTCTCCCTGAAAACAGCAGCTAGCACTCTGGGAGAGAGAGTTTCCCAAATGGTCACTGATGTCACTTACATGGGGGCTGGGCGTGTCTTTAGAACGTTCATGGAAAATGCATGTTATGAAGAATATTCACATGGATTTCAACACTTTTTCATGAAACACAACTTATCTTTGAATTGTATTTCTCTACAAACTTTTTGAAGCACTCTTATATTACAAAATTTCAACAAATTCTCTTGTTCTGAATGAAACTACGAGTTTCCCCAAACCAGGTAGATAAAGAACAGCATGTCTGGGGGGCTTTCTTAGTTTTCTCTTCAAATATTATACTTTAAAGTAAATTAGATTAGGGGACAGAAAAAGAATACGTATTTAAGATGTGATTTTTTTTTTTCATCTACAAAAAACTTTCTGGTACCCAGAGGACTTGGGTCAGACAGAAACCTTGTTATTAACTGAAATTTGGGAACTCTGTAGTTTGGTAACTTTGAAGTGGCCCTGTGTTGTGTTTTGGTATCTGGGATGGGAGAATATAAGCTGTTGGCCACCTTGGGGAATTTCTTAACTTACCCCACATTTGTTCCTTGCCAATGTAGGACACTGCTTTCTTTAGCTTGGGGAGAACTGGTGCTCACTTAAAAAAATGAAGATGGGATGGTGTTTCTCTTCTTTTGAAGCCTCTTTTCATGGGAAGAAAGAACAAGTCCTCAACAGAACTTCATAGCCCTCTCCATGGTGATTGGAAAGCAATGATGCTGAGATAAAACGGGCAAGAAGGGATGACGAGCTTCGAAAGGGGAGTAGGCAGACATCTGCTTCCCGCTCTCAGCACTTTCGTATCAGGGCCCCTCACCAATATTTATGAGGTGTCCAGGTTGTGAATTATTAAGTATAGGTTGATGGCCCTGCTAGCGTTAGTATTTGCTTGGTGCTGTGTTTACTTTAGTGGATAATTGCTTCTCACACTACATTAAGAGTGAACATTTAAATGAACTCAAAGTATCTTTGTGAGTGTGTTTGTCATTGAGGACTTAGAAAGGAAAGGACAGCTTTGTCCTCAAGCAGGAAAAACTCTTCCTTATATCCTGGAAGAGGCCAAAGAGGGCAGCCATGGTCCATATCTGTACTCAGTGGGGTGGAATGGGTGGTGTCTGATCCACAGTCCCATCAGCCCTGTGAAGATCTACTTTTGTGGAATAAATCAGAATCAGAGCAGCTTCTCACTTTTCTGTACTAGGTTCAAATTACCTCAGGGGATTAGAAAGCCAGCCTCACAGAGGATGCATTGTGTGACATCAGCCTGGCCAGCTCCTGTCTTTGGGAAGGTGTATATAAAGCACGCAGGGAAAGTGACTGTCCTGGGCCAGCAGCATGGAGTAGTGGGTTAAGCAGCCTCCTGCAGTGCCAGCATCCCATATGGGCCATGACTCGATTCCTGGCTCATCCCCTTCTGATCTAGCTCCCTGCTAGTGAGCCTGGGAGAGCAGGAGAAGATGGCCCAACTGTTAGGGTTACATGGGAGAGCCAGAAGAAGCTTCTGGCTCCAGGCTTCAGCAGTCCCAGCTCTCTCTGGTTGTTGTGGCCATTTGGGGAGCGAACCAATGGATGGAAGATCTCTCTCTCTCTCTCTCTCTCTCCCTCCCTCTCTCTGTAACTCTGCCTTTCAAACAAAATAAATAATTCTTAAAAGAGAGAAAAGTGACTGTCTTATGGCTGACACTTCTCTCTTGAAAAGGCAGTGGTTAACTCTAATGAAGTAACAGTCCATGGCTCAACCCAAATTTTATTAAAGATTTATATATTTATTTGAGAGTCAGAGTTATATCCACTAGTTCATTCCCCAAATGGCCACAATTGCTGGAGCCTGGCTGATCCGAAGCCAGGAGTCAGGAGCTTCTTCTGGGTCTCTCAGAACTTGGGTGTAGGGACCCAAGTTCTTGGGTCATCTTCTCTTGCTTTCCCAGGCACATCAGCAGGGAGCTGGATAGGAAGTGGAGCAGCCGGGACTCTAACTGACACCTATATGGGATGCCAGTGCTGCACATAGAAGTGTAACCCACTACACCACAGCACTGACTGGCTCCTTAACCCACTTTTTAATTGACAAATATAATTTTGAATTTCTCACCAACTTTTGAGTTAAACAAAAGGAATCCTGTGAGTCCAGACTCCTAGTTTATAATGTAAAAGCTAAAAAAAAATTCTGAATTATACTTTGCCTTTTCCATATAAAATTTAATGATGCAGTTCCATAATACATATTTTAAAATTTTGTTCTTTTCTACTGATCATAGAAGAGTAAAATTCTTCCTTCTGAGGTTAAAAGTAGCACAAATTTGGCTTGCTTTGTAAATTTTTATTTTTTTTTTGACAGGCAGTGTGGACAGTGAGAGAGAGAGACAGAGAGAAAGGTCTTCCTTTGCCGTTGGTTCACCCTCCAATGGCCGCCGCGGCCAGCGCACTGCGGCCGGCGCACTGCGCTGATCCGATGGCAGGAGCCAGGTGCTTATCCTGGTCTCCCATGGGGTGCAGGGCCCAAGCACTTGGGCCATCCTCCACTGCACTCCCTGGCCACAGCAGAGAGCTGGCCTGGAAGAGGGGCAACCGGGACAGAACCCGGCGCCCTGACCGGGACTAGAACCTGGTGTGCCAGCGCTGCAAGGCGGAGGATTAGCCTAGTGAGCCGCGGCACCGGCCCTTGCTTTGTAACTTCTTTCAACTGTGGTTTTAATTCATTTTCAAAGTACTTTATCATTAGAATTAGTAGTTTTACTTTTCATTTTATGCTCCTTTAAAAATAAGACCTTGGCCAGCACTGTGGCTCACTAGGCTAATCCTCTGCCTTGTGGCGCCGGCACACCAGGTTCTAGTCCTGGTTGGGGCGCCGGATTCTGTCCCGGTTGCTCCTCTTCCAGGCCAGCTCTCTGCTGTGGCCCGGGAGTGCAGTGGAGGATGGCCCAAGTCCTTGGGCCCTGCACCCCATGGGAGACCAGGATAAGTACCTGGCTCCTGGCTTCGGATCAACATGGTGTGCCAGCCGCAGCACACCGGCCGCGGTGGCCATTGGAGGGTGAACCAACAGCAAAAAGGAAGACCTTTCTCTCTGTCTCTCTCTCTCATGGTCCACTCTGCCTGTCAAAAAAAAAAAAAATAAAAATAAAAATAAAGCCTTATAATGTAAGTTTAATAAGGCACTTATAATATTTGGGCAGCTATGCTGTCTAGGAAAAACTGATGTTACTATGGTTCAGTAGGTCTAAGCAAGGCCACCAAAGGATATTTTGAAATGTTCATTCAGTCAGTATGCCAAAGCATATTTTGGATTCTTGAGTCCTTTGAGTTTATTGAGGCTTGAATGTGTTTGTTGTACAAAGTTTGAGGTTGAGGGGGCAGCACTGTGGCATAGTGGGTAAAACCACCACCTGCAGGGCCGGCATCCCATGTGGGCACCTGTTTGAGTCTCGGCTGCTCCACTTCTGATCCAGCTCCCTGCTAATGCACCTGGGGAGGCAGCAGAGGATGGCCCAAGTCCTTAGGTCCCTTCTCCCACGTGGGAGACCCAGAAGAAGCTCCAGGTTCCTTGCTTTGGATTGACACAGCTCCAATTGTTGCAGCCATTTGGGTAGTGAACTGGCAGATGGAAGACCCCCTCCCCCCGCCTATGACTCTGCCTTTCAAATAAATAAATAAATAAATAAATAAATCTTTAAAAAAAAGTTTGAGGTTGCTTCGATGTCAGAACACTTGTATTTATTCAATAGCTTTCCCTTTTTGAAGCGTGTTACACACACTGTGGCTCAAGTACTTGGTTTC